TACACCCGAAAATGGAGACTGTCGGCGAACGTAGGAAAATGCGCAGTAGTGGTCTGTAACGAAGACAAGAAAAATCCCGTAGAATTCAAATGGAAATGGGGGGAGGAAGAACTACCGGTAGTAGACAAGTATACGTACCTGGGAGTAGAGATTTCGAAGGAGTGCTCATGGGACGCACACATAGCGAAGTTGATTGGGAAGGGTAAAGCTCAGATAGGCAAGATGGACGAGATCCTTACGGACCCACACCTAGACACTAGGATTAAGAGGTGTATTCTCTTGAATGTGATTGTACCTAAGCTAGAGTATGCAGGAGAGGTATGGGAAGGTAACGAAAAGGCCGTCAAGCAGCTGGAAACGGTGCAGATGGCAGCGGCCAAGAAAATACTAGGATGTTCAAGTACAACGAGCAACACTGTATTGAGAGCAGAATTGGGAATGTACTCTCTTAAAACAAAGAGACATGCAGAAGTTGAATTGGCAGTACAAGGTAAGTAGAATGTCGGACGATAGACTACCAGCCATGGTTGACGAGGCAGCTTGGGGAAAAGCGACTCCAGGGAAGAAGGGAATCAGATGGGACAAGGTGGTAGAGAAGGTTTGGAAGGAGATAGGAGACGAGGAGGAGACGTTGGACACGGAAGGGTTCGGGGGGTTCAAGACGAAAGTCAAGGAGATGCTAGAGAGTAGGGAGGAGGCAACCCTTCGGAAGAAGGTACGACGCGAAGACCACTTGGAGATATACGGGAAGTTGAAAGAAGGGATAGGGATGAAGACGTACTTGGACGGCCCCATGGACTACGCGAAAAAGCTGAAATTGCAATTTCGAGTAGGCGATCTGGACTTGCCAGAACGGAGGAAGAGGTATACCAGCCGTAGGAGAGAGGAAGAGGAGGATAGACACACATGTCCATGTGGCAAATCGGAGGAGAGTAGACCCCACATAGTTGGGGAGTGTGAGTTGTACAGGAAGGAAAGAGAGGATCTCGAGGAGGAAATGAGACAGAGAGGGTGTGACATGGACAAGTTTGGTAAATTAGACAACAGCGAAAAAACGATCGCGATAATTGGGGATAGATGGTGGGCACAAGAGGCCCTAGAGGACGGGGATAAGATGTGCAAGAAATTTTTATGTAGTTTGTGGCAGAAACGTAAAGAGCTCCCAAATGTTGGTGGTGTCTCTAGTAGGGGTAGGAACGGTGCTCCGTCTCGAAAGGGACGCGTGGTCAATGGTCAAATGACTAAGGCAAGCAACAAATGAGTACGCCCCCCCCCTACAACATCTATCTCCCGCTCCCTTCTCTCCGTGCTCCTTCGCAGTTGGTCTCCGTGTTTCCAGTAGCCTGGAAGACTTTGCGCGAGCAAGCGACGACCTGAGTGCGCACTCCCTCCGCCTCTACGTGCCCCCCCCCCCCTTGCATTTCCCCCCCCTCCTCCCCCCCAAACCCTTGGGTTTCGTTACCCGGAAATCGGGGGGCCAAAAAA